TTTGTTTTATACGTTATGTCAATGTTTGTCGTTTTTGGTTGTCTGTCAGATCTTTTTTTGTTTCCTGTTTTATCATACAGTAAATTTCAGGCACGAATATTATGTCGGTCTACATTTTATTGCTACAGATATTTGTTATACATGCCTGAGAATGCCTAAAAGCAACTGTATGCTTTGGTTAAATGGTAATTGTATCTATGCATTGACGATTCCTCCATAGATAATTGACAATTTTATTTTGAGAGGAGTCAAGGCCCTGCAGAAGATGATTGACCAAGGTCTTTTTAATCCTGCATCGGTCAGGAGTTTACAAAACATGTAAACAAATAATTTCATTAGGAAAATTAATAAAAGACAAACTAGGTTAATCTATATTAGATAACCAATTATAAAATACCCATTGCTCTTTATGTTAAATTATCCAATGTCAATCATTCGTGAGACTGAAGTTCAATTGACAGTCATTCCATGTCAACGCAATACATTCTTGTTACTTTTGCTGGAAAAAACACTTCACTAATTAAGTACAAGAGCACAGGGACAAGTTTGGAAGTACAATAACAGGTATTTCGGACCTTGCTACAGTTATATCTTTTTCTGGTTCAACTTCGTACGATGTGTTTATTATTGATACTATCATTCAACAAGGGTTTAACAACGATCCCCAGTCCTTCAACTTCTATTTGATACTAAAATCACCCACATGGTTTAGTGTTGTTTTCAATTTTTTATATATATTAGAAATGACAGCTAAGCGTAAGGACTAATTTGTTTGATATATGGACTACTTTCTTGTATGTTCTTTATTACCAGAATTGAGTTAGTGGTGCCATACCATATTGTCAGCTTTTTTCGTTATCAACGTGTTTTGATTAAAAAATATTTAAATGCATGGATTGATTGGTATCTTTAATGTTTTCCAACAAATGTATGGAAATGATGCTAGTCACAATCCAATGTAGCATGTTCACTCAACCTAACCAATTTAAAAAACCAGCATAGATCAATGGGTATTTGAACTGTTATCTTTTCAACAAGCAGGATTAAATCAGTCTAGTACAAAACTCCGTTAATAATCGTATCACATTACATTTACTCGTCCCAACTGTGTTTGCAATTTTTGCCACTCTACGTAAAACAGTCACCCATCAATAACTTACGCGTTTTTTGGCTCGTGACATAAATGGTATCTATACAAACCTTGCAAAGATACTATTTGTGAATGGGAAGGTCAATATTGAGTAAAGGTAGTCATCGTTTCGTGTTTCAAGACTTTTTCCCAATTGTTTTATGCCGCATTAGCTTACATCACTGCACAGTATACTGTCAATTATCTGTGGTAAAAACAAATAAAAATTCCAGAGTGATGTCAAACAATCCTTGATAGAACCGAAATTTAAAAATCAAAAGACTGCATCAGCACATGCAGATATCTTAGTAAGAAACTAGTTATGGCAACCTGCAACGCTTTGATATCAAAAATAAGTTCAAGATTTCATATTTAATTGACAATGATTACACCTGAGATCAACCCCAGTTTTTGTTGGGGTTCTTGTTGCTTAGTCGTTAGTTTTCTATTATGTATCTGTTTGTCTTTTTCTTTTATAGTCAGTTTATTTTCGATGTATGAGTTTGAATGTCCCTCTGGTATCTTTCGTTCCCCTTTTACAAAATATTCCCGCGGAAATTCCTTTGGTGTCTATCGACTCAAACAGTTCACAATTAAACTTTGATTGATTTTTTGCTAGATTAAAAATGCAAGGCATATCGACACAGGAAATAATATCATTCAATAGAAATAATTAAAAGTAGTTTAGCAGTTGTAATTTGCAAAATGTTACTGTAAAATATAAAGACTTAGTGAGGTACCTGCAGTAATTCTTTTGAAGTTCAAATGGAAATCTTCTTCAACAGATTGTTCATGAAATCGGTTGGTACATATAAGAATCAAATTTGAAGGCATGTCAAGTGGCTCTGCCAATTTCCGACAGTGGAATGGAATTATGTTTCCAGGTTAGTTGGTTCGTCAGTTCATCTCTACGTCTGTTATATCGTTCGCCGGTCCGTTCAATATCTGTTTGAATTTTTGATTTGTTAAAGCCAGAAACCTGAACACATTTTCATTATGATATGAACTTTTATAATTGATACCGAAACACAATGTCATCTTTTTTTTTTATAGTTCTCTGAACATGTGAAATAGGTACATTATCATGTTCAATTTATTCGCAAAGGGAATTCACAATTACGTTGTAGTGACATCATTTTGAAACTTTATACAAATGCTCATTATTATTTTGCCTACCATATATATAACGTGTTGTTTTCATTTTTAACATCACTGGGTCGATACCTCTGCTGGTGGACTATCATTCCTCGAGGGTATCATCAGCTCAGTAGTCAGTACTTCGGTACTTATATGATGTATAACAATCCTTTCTAAAATTGTCTTTATAAATTATGAAATTATAAAAAAACTAAGTTTTCAACTCCCTCAGTCAAAGTTGGCCTTAGATGGATTTGGCTATTGTATTAGACTTATTTTTGTCATATAGCTCTTCAATTGTTTCAGTTCTTATAATTCCTTGGCTTTGAAATATTTGGCTTTGAGCGTTCCTGATGAAGGCAAATCCAGAAAAGCGCATCGGACGTATGAATTAATATAACGTGTTGTTGTCTTTTTTACTATATCAATGCGAAATTATGGGATTAACATCATTAACACTGATCAAATTAATATAGTACAATTGGGGTACAGTGTCATTTCGAAACACATTCTTATATTCAACTTTTAAAATTTAAATATGGATATCTCATTTTCCACGTGTAGAATGAAGGCAACAGTAGTATACCGCTCTTCAAGAGCCTTAAATCGATTGAGAAAAAACAAATCCGGATTAGAAACTAAAACCGAGGGAAACGTATCAACTATAAGAGGAAAACAACGAAACAACAGAACACTGAAGTGCAACAAAAACAAACGACAATGCAACATACATAGGAACGAACTATTAGATAACAACTGCCATATTCCTAACTTGGTACAGGACATTTTACGAAAAAAATGGTGGGTTGAACCTGGTTTTGTGGCTAGCCAAATCTCCGCGCTTTATGGCAATGTTAAATATACTGTCAAAATGACAACATTGCACATTCCACAGCACAAATAAATGCAAGAACACCCAAGACAGAGAAATACATAAATAAATAATATAATAGTACATTTCGACATGTTAACCACAGAATAACAACGAATACCTTAATCATTCAAATTTAACTTTATAAGAGAATTTAATATTGTTCAATTTTCTGGTGTTTTAACAAAAAATATAATGATTGTGCCTAAACAATTTGTTATTTTGCAAAAGGAAAAGAATAGAAACATTTGTAATGAGAATGCATAATACAAATTTGCCCTTCTTTCTATTGTTATCATAACAGTTTAAAATTTAAGATTGAAAATTAAAATTAAAAAAAAAAAAAAATTCCATTCTAACAAAAAAAAAGTAACAACAATATATATATTACATTCTACAGAACCTAAGGTCGAAATTGAGCATTTGCTAAAAAATTAACTTGTAATAACGACAAATTTAGGAATGGTTATAATGCATTGCACTTCCATAACATTCAGAAAAGGAAATAAAATAATTTTACTTATCAATCATCAGTTAAAAATACTTGAAAGCATTGTTTTAACGAAGAACAGGAAAACGGCAAAAATTTTAATGGAAAAAAAATATATCTTTATAGAATTTAAGAAATAGGTTTAAGTCGATGAGTTTTTTTTTCACGTAAGAAACAAATGGCCGTATTCAAATTTGAAACGACGTTCTGATTTTAAATGTTCATTGATTTTTGATTTGATACAGCTGGTTTGATTAAAGCTGTAATAATAAATTGTATGTAGACGAAACGCATATTTGGCGTATTCAATGATAAACCTGATACCTTGTATAGTTATTGTATCGATTATTTCCATATTTAAGTAGTGGCTGGTTAATTTCAAATATATTTAAGTTTTTTGTATAATGTCTCGATTTTGAAATGTTTTGTGCTTAAACATTATCACCCTTCGACATCCAAAATCGCCTTGGTGGTATATAGATAACATGCTCACCCCTAAAGGTATGCTAAACAAATACCTGAAAACAAACTGTCACTTGTAACTGGTTTAATTTGCTTCACTCACGAAGTATGTAGCAATACGATTGCTCATAGCTTTATGTTAAAACAAAACATATTTATTTGGCGACATGTCTCTATGCAGATATTAACCATATTAACGAGCATTTTGAAAAAAATAAGAATCCGACTCGGTTTGTCGGTGTAGTACAAAGTAGGGACAATCATTTTAAGATGACATACTTTAAAATACACAAGCGTTCAGTCCTAATCACCAAACAGCTTGATAAAATATATGGAAAATTGAGTTTGAGGTATCAAAAACACATATACTAGGTATAAATACTGTCAATCAAAGTTATCGCGAACATTTTTGCTCTCGGTGCAATCAAGCTTACAATTATATTCAGTACAAAAACCGAAGTCTAGTATGACATGTAAATATAGGACTAAAGAAAGAACTATTGATTGTTAACATTGACAACAGAGGATGAGCAAGGAATATGGATGAACAAAATTGTTTGCCAACAGCGAATCAGTTAGGGCAAGTAGTTTTTCTTCATTAAATGTATGGTATTGTCCCTAATTGTTACGTGTTATCCAAATGTCGTCAGTTTGGAATCAGTTTGAAACTCGTTTTAGATTGTCCATGGGTTTTTCACTTACGCCATTGCGTTTTAAACAGTATACAGCCATATATGATTGTATAGACTAAAGAAACGACAACCATATGATTGTTTGATCGACTAAACATGTTATCCAATTTAGGCTTCAGTTTTTCAATAAATTTTCATTGGATGCATCATCAGAAGGGCGTGTAGTAATATGAAAAATCATGTTTTGTATATAAGAACTTTATACTGAACATTAGACCACTTAAGGATAAATTATCTATCATCTGTAAATGTACATACAACTATATGCACAAAGACAATAAAGATCATTGAGGTATGTGCTAAATGTCAAATACGATTTTGAACTGTTATACCATATATGATTATAACGTATTATGACAATGGTTGAAAATTACTCGGTACACCAGAAACATCCAGACATGCATACATTGATAATTAAGTCTGAGATGCATGATTTTTTTTATTAGTTGTTAGTGGCTAGCTGCCAGTAACTGCGAGTATTCTCAGATCAGTACTTATTGTCTTTTTGTTGTTGGGATATACAAGTACCCGGCCACGTCCACTATGTTTTTTTGCTAGGTGTATTTCTATTTGTATCCACCTGATGATTTAAGACTTTTTTAACTGATTTTTATAGTTCGTTCTTATGTTGAACTGTTACACCACTGTCTCAGGATAAGGGGAGGGTTGGGATCCCTCTAACATGTTTAACCCCGCCACATTCTGTATGTATGTGCCTGTCCCAAGTCAGGAGCCTGTAATTCAGTGGTTGTCGTTTGTTGATGTGTTACATATTTGTTTTTCGTTCATTTTTGGTACATAAATTAGGCCGTTAGTTTTCTCGTTTGAATTGTTAAAATTTGTAATTTCGGGGCCTTTTATAGCTGACTATGCGTTAAAAGCTTTGCTGATTGTTGAAGGCCGTACGGTGACCTCTAGTTGTTTATTTCTGTGCCATTTGGTCTCTTGTGGAGAGTTGTCTCATTGGCAATCACACCACATCTTCTTTTTTATATATTCATTAAACTTTTTAACCATTGAATACTACCTAAAAATTCAACTTTGGGAAAGCTTTGATATAATAAGACACATTTTTCTTCAAAGAAAATTACACTACACCGTCTGATGTTGAGCAAGACAGTTGTTGTTTAGGACGTACAAGACGGTTAACCAATTAACTAATTACATTTTATGATATAATCTAATTTCAATTATCAGATATAAATCATGAAAGAGGGGCGAAAGATACCAGAAGGACATTCAAACTCATACATCGACATGACAAATTACTATAACTCCACTTTTTAATTGGCCAAAACTGAACCCGAATGGAGGCAACATATATTGGGCTTCTGATGGATATTTTGTACGTATTTTAGATTTTTACCATTTTAAGTTGAGGTATCATTACATTGATTAAAGTCATAAAATAAAATTCTGTCCGATATAATTTGGTAAAAAAAAAAGAATTCAACAAGGAAGTTATTGTACTTTTTTTTTTATAAATCTGTGATTCACGTTTTCCTGCATTAAATGCTGATTTGGAACTGATCTATTTCGATTTGATTGTCTAGCACTTGACACTTGACACACATTTGTTGGTCAAATAAGTTTTTTAACGAAGTACAGGAACAAGGAAATCATTTTAACGCTAACAAATTTGTGGTAATTTAGGTGGTTTTTGAAAGAGAGGCGTTGGATACCAAAGAGACATTCAAACTCATAAGTATAAAATAAACTGATAACGCCATAGCTAAAACAAAAACGACAAACAGACAACCACCAGTCCCATAAAACAACACAGAAAATCAAAGACTAAGCGAAACGAACCCACCAAAAATGGTGTTGATCTCATGTGCTCCGGAATGGTAAGCAGATCATGTTCCACATGTGACACCCGTCGTGTCACTGATGTCAGTGATAAGTGTAATTTAGAACTTCACTTTCGGTGAAAAAGGGACATGATTGTAGTTGCGACAATTAGAACATATCCGTCCTTTTCTGTGAAGCGGCCTATCTATTTAGGTTAACTAACTCTAGAAGGCGTCAAAAGTGTCTCTTTGTGTTCATATGTGAATTAGGCTATACGAACATATCTGAATCAGTTTATAAGAACATATGTGAACCAATTTAGAAAAACATATGTGAATTAGGTTATAATAACATACGTGAATCAATTACAAACACAATTAACTCACTTGATCGTTAAGAAGAAAGTACAATTTAAAAGGCCGCTGATTTAAAAATTAAATTTATCATTCAGTAGTACACAAGACAAATCACTTTTGAGTTCTACTCGAAAAATCAAAAATTGTACAAGTAGCTTTCATTCATTAATGTGTTGTGTTATTAAAATCAAGGATTTTTTTACAATTTTCAGGATGGCTTTTGATTTAACAAACGGAACTTATACCAGTTTGAGTGAAATAGAACACAAAAGATTTCTGGACCAAGGAATTCCAGCTACAGTATGCCTTAGTTTCTTGTGTATCATAGGAACAATTGGAAATATACACATGATATTGATACTGAAGATATCGCCAGTCATGGCAAAATATTCAATTCGAGTTTTCATCATTTTGCTTTTTTTAACTGATCTTATAGCATGTTTTTATGCCATTTGAAATTTATAATATTCGATACAGCTACACCACATCTACCAGTGGTTGCAAATTTTTCATTGTCCAAAAGACAAACAGACACATAATAGTACACAAGACACAACATATAAAACTGAGGGCTAAGCATCACAAACCCCACCAAAATCTAGGGGTGATCCCTGGTGATCCGGAAGGGTAAGCAGATCCTGCTCAACATGTGGCACCCGTCGTGTTGCTCATGTTACAAATGTATTACAAACTCGGTAAATAGTCTAACTTGGTAGGTCATATTCGTAAAAAAGGGAAGAGGATTGTAGTTATGACATAAGGAACATATCCGATATCCTCTATGAAACGGTTATTCCATAACGATCAACCAACTCGTAATGGCGTCCGTAAAAATCTACAATGGTTCCATTTTCATTATTAATTTACTTTTCCTCACGTTTCTTAGTATATTGTTGTAAATCGGTCAGTATGTCACTAATTCAGTTTTCTTCGTCTTTTACGTCTATTTTAAAATTGTGATCAATAACGTGAACAGCAATGTTTGCCTACAACTAAAACGCTTTGCCCTATTAGAATAGTTATAATTCATGGGTGCTTGAATTTATATTGATTTTATCACGGGTTTGGCACTTTTACCGATACTTAACTCCTTTTTATTCGTCTTGGTAAAATATTAAGCATAAAGGGCCAACCCGTGATAAAATCAATATATTTTCCTGCATCAAAAGAAACTTTTTCAATTATAGTATAATCTTCGTAATGAGAACACAATAAATTTATCGTCTCTTGGTATTTTGTATTTTGGTATTAAATTCCCTCTTTTCCATTCATAAATTGAGTCCGGTTTTTCTGAACTAGAGGTATTTTTATTTCTGAAAATTTGTTTTCACATGTGTTTTAGTATTTATTTTGCCTTTCGTCCCACAAATCTTTTCTTATACTTGATTTTTTTTTTCACAACTAAGCTTTAATTAAAATCTGATTTATTCTCTAGATATCTTCTGTAAGGAATAGTTAAACCAAGTTTAATCCACCATTTTCTACATTAGAAAATGCCTAAACCAAGTCAGGAATATGACAGTTGTTATCCATTCTTTTGATGTGTTTGAGCTTTTGATTTTGCCATTTGATGAAGGACTTTCCGTTTTGAATTTTCCTTGGAGTTCGGTATTTTTGTTATTTTACTTTTTTCAATATATCTAAATTCAGATAAAAAAGAAGATGTGCTATGATTGCCAATGAGTTCACTGTCAATACGATCACATGTAAATGATAACATATACTAAATGACGTATATCTAAGGATCTAAGTTAAGCAAGGACTTGATATCTGCCTTAACTGTATGGCGGCACAACTAAATTTAGTAAGGAAATGATGTCTGCCTCAATTCTATGGCAGGGGTATTTTGTCAGATACATTCTTATGAATCACTTAAGCTTTTTTAATGCTTTTGCTGAAACAGTGAAGTGATATATGTAATGGAGAAGGTACCTTGTGTCGTTGATGAGCTGCCAGGGTCATTACAGAATTGATTCAAAGCTAATCTGTCTTGTCCTTGAAAAAAAAATAAATAGTTTGGGAATTAAGTCGACTTGAATTAGCTGTCAGTAACTTCGAATACTCTCAGATATGTACTATTTTGTTGTTGGGATGTATACATATCCTGCCACGTTAGGTCTGTGTTTTGTCTGTCTGTTTTGCATCGATCTATTGAGTTAAGACCTTTACAAGTGATTTTTATAATTTGTTCTTAATTTGTTCACCCTTATCCCAGGTTAGAGTCAGGGTTTGGCGCAAAGAAACTAGTTTAACCCACCACAACTGTATGTGACTGTCCAAAGGCAAGCGCCTGTATTTCTGTGATTGTCGTTGGTTGCGGTATATCATTTTAGTTTTTCGGTTTTTTTTGTACATTAATCAGGCCATTAGTTATCTCGTTTGAATTGTTTTACATTTGTCATTCCGGGCCTTTTATAGCTGACTATGCGGTATGGATTTTTCTGCAGGCCGCACGGGGAGGTTTAGTTGTTAAATTCTATTTGAGTTGGTCTCTGATGGAAAGTTGTCTTATTGGAAGTCATCCCACATCTTCGTATTCTATATTGAAATTAAGATGACAGACAAACTTAATTAAGGTTGGCAATTTATCTCCGATATTCTTATCACCCTGACTTGATTAATAAGATGTTTTAAAATGTTCTAATTGATTAAACGTATTGAGTGTTTTCAACCAATTTTATGGAAATGATGAATTCTCCAAATTCATTAATTTTAAATCCACTCAACCTTAACAATTTCAAACTCATCCGTCTAAATCACAGGGAATTCGGAGCCATGACGGCCAATTATTTATTGTCCTAATGGAGATAGTAATAAACGGGTTGTTAACGAATTTGGAAAATGTAAACTAAGGCAACAGTATGTTCCAATCTTATAAATAGATAACAAAGATACAAATCAAGGCAACAACCAAAAACTCAGAGAATCGCATGAATTCCAGCCATAGAAGAGTTAGACCGAATGCATCGACAGGACAAGTGTCTCACTTCTGCTTGCATCAACAGACATGCAAATCCATCTACACTAGATCAAAATGTCATAAGCGGCAGAAAGACACAATCTGTCAAATTTTAAATGAGTCGACTATACTGGAACTGAAGAACTGCAAAAACCTTTCGTAAGTAAATTGAGAAACAGTTACATCGTTTTGGACAAAAAGTAAAATCATAAAAATACCGAACTCTGAGGAAGTTTTAAAATGGAAAGTCCCTTATCAAATGGCAAAATCAAAACCTCAAAACTCAAACACATCAAACGAATGGATAACAACTGTCATAACTGACAAAAAGCGACTGAAGTGTAAATATCAATCGTTCTTCTTCATAACTCTGTTTGATAAGGGAATTTCCTTTTTATTTTCGTTGGAGTTCTGTTTATTGTTAATTTTAATTTTTAACACAAAAAGTATCAAATCAATTCCCTAATCATGGCTTAACATTACAGTTTATGATATGTTACAATCATCCCTTAAAGTAACCTTAAAGATTTCCAAACACTTCTTGTCGCTTTCTATGCGTGCTCAAAATATGTTTTGTCTTATTTCAATATTCTTATGATGAAGACATAATCTTTCAATCAGTTTAATTGAGGTCTGCAGCTGGTATGCCAGTAACTGCTAGTATTGCTTTGTTAATTTATGTACCATTGTCATTTTGCTTAGTTTCTTTTGTTACCTATTCTGGCATAGGACTCAGAGTTCTTTTAAACTTAGTCTTACTGTGCGTATTGATGTGTGTTTGTTTTTTCTACATTAGTACGATGTATAGGGGGAGGGTTGAGATCTCACAAAACATATTTAACCCCGCTGCATTTGGTCGGGTTGTAGTCTCTTTTGACATATTTCCCATTTCCATTCTCAATTTTATCACTAAATAACAAAATACTTTATTGTTCAATTTTTCTGTTGTTTCCTCATACAAAAGTTGTCGACAGAATATAGAATTTTAAAGCAAGAAACAATAGAAATATTTGTTTCAAAAAAGACTGATATCCTTGATAGTAACTTGATCGATTATTTTAAGTATTGGCTTGTTAATTTTAAATTGCTACAAGTTTGGATTTCAAAATGTTTTGTGATTCCACAGTTACTCATTTTTTAACATCTTTAATAGCCTAGTCAATCGCAAATATGTTTGCTCTCTGTGTAAATCAAATAAATATATTCATACCAATGCTGAAGTCTAGTAGATAATGTAACATGTCTAGACATGACTAAAGCAACTACGATTAGATAACAAAAAAGATGCACAATGAGTATGAATGAACAAATTTGATTGCCACTAGAAAATTATTTGCAGTAGTAATCATGTATAGTATTAGGAATAATCCAATGAAATGATTGTACTTAATTCACTTATCTATTTGCAGCAAAAGCAACTCATCTTCGAATTTCACTTTTAAGGCACAAATCTACGATTACATCTTACGGAGCATATGTGTTCACTTCCCTTATTTGGTGAAGTTGTCCATTTGAGGACATGTGCACTTGTAAAATAAGATGAAACTTTATATAAGGACATCAATGGTGTAAGATTCACAAGACTGAGCAACAGACAGATGGACAAGCAAAATTATCTATACCTCATATTCATTGCAAAAGCGTTACCTGAATAATTATATATAATGCTATAAAATTAAATTTTAAGTCTCTAATCAAAGAAAACTGAAATGTTAATTCAGTAACAACATCTATTTCAGGAATGGCTAAACTAAGCTGTATTTGGAAAACAAAACATTTAGGGATTTGGGGTCTTCAGCGGTCTTCACCATCGTATTTCATTTGGTCTTTTTAAATTTTGTGATTCGAGCGTCAATTACGAGTCTTTTGTAGACGAAACGCGCGTCTGGCGTACACAATTTTTAATCCTGGTATTTATTTTGAATTCATTTTATTGCAACAGAATGTTATTTGAAATAACACTGTGTCATACAGAATATCATGATTAAACACCATATTCCGTTATAGAATCTATTAAGATAACACCATTGTAGTAAACAAAACAAGAGACCCTGGTGCTAAACATATTTGGGGAGAACACTGTGTCACTATCTATTTGAAATTCAGTATCTTCTTTATTCTTCTCAATTAGGGACATTACATATAATTATATTCCATTTATTTTGATACCGTGTAGTTTGGCATATACTCCTCTGTAGAATTGAATAAATAATGTCAATAGTCCTTCACTTTCGTCCAGAATGATGATGCATATTTTCCTTTTTTTAAAGCATAGCCATGATTTTCACTGCGAGAGCAATTTCTTTTTTCTTGTTCCAAATCGACGGCAAAAATCGAAGGTTTATTAGATACATAAATAATGTTTCATGCATTAGGTAATATATGGAACATCATTGGATTTCTTCATAAATGTGTTTATCACCAGAAAGGCGTCCACTCAGTTAGTCTTACTTTGAGAATTAATTTATGCATCAAGAAGCATTCTGGTTAAAAGCATGGCAATTTTTTTTACAACAAGTGATGCATGTAGTTAAATTTATTCAAATGGCGGAAAGGTTCGAAAACAATGTGTTCAGAGTTCCCCTACACGGGAAAGTTCAAATAGAACAAATTCTAATTTGGACTGCCACGGGAAAATGATGGTATATTAGATAAGGACAGAAATTTAGCCTTGCAACAGGCCACCTACGGACCACTCAAAGAGTTGTTGCAAGGGTTCCTAACGTGCAAAGAGCGTGGCACTCTCTTTACACGAGTCATCGGATTTAACGTCCCCATTCTGACCAGACGTGGCTGCGAACTTGTACTTCCCACACAGCCAAACAGACGCACCACTTTGGCGAGGGATTTATTGCCGGTCGGAGGAAGACCAATAGCGATCATATTTCCATTCCCCAGTCAATCTAGGGGGTTTCTAGTTTGAAACACAATTGCAATTCGAACATCATTAATAATAACTACTTTTTTCTGTTGTTTGTTTTCCTGACAGTAGTTCAATAAGTAATGTAACATTAATTTAAAAGGATCCCAGTTACAGCAACCAGTTCAATACCAACGAATATAGTTCTTTAAAAAATTTTTGTAACTTTATTTGTCATCCCGCGTCAGAGTATTGCGTAAATTTTATACCGTTGTAGACTGACATATCATGTTGTCAACCAAAACAACATTTGCAACGAAATTCCTGTCATTAAGGCTCAAATATTGTCCTAAGAAATCTCAAAACAAATGTTTAAGGTAGATCAGGGTCTTCAATCAACTTATATTGTAAAAAATCGCAGAAATCAACTAAGTTAGATCTTTAATGAAATGTGCAAATTTAGTGAGAAGAAAGTTACTTTTCATTTACATGAAGACAATTATCATACTTTTACGACTTTTTTTTATAAGAGTTCCTTGACCTCGATTTTTTTTTAATTTTCAGAAACCACTTTATAAGAACTATCTTCTCATATTCTATCTTAAAATTCTATCGATAAGTTTATTGTGACGGGTGCCAATTGTGGAACAGTAACTGCTAACCATTCCTTTGAACACGAGAATATCCCCGGTTTTGGTGGGGCTGGGGCTGTTCAGTCTTTGGGTTTTTATGTAGTGTTTGTTGAATTTTTTGTCTTTTCGTCGTTTTTCGTTTTTTTTTTTGCCATGCCAATTTTCATTTGTCCTTGACTTATGAGGTTTGAATGTCATTTTGGTATCTTTTGTCTTATTTTTTCATCATCACCATTTTCCTTGATTTAAAAATAGAATTCGCTAATTTTGTAATTGCTATCCATGTTTTCTTTCCTTAATTAAACAAACGAGATAATTTTCTAAGAATTAACCTCCAATAAAGATGGTATTTTTTACAAACAAACGCATTTTTAATATAATATATTTTGTTTTATATTTTATATTTTTTCTATCAATTTAATTAAAATATTTGTTAATTTTAGTATTATTAAAGGTGAACAAAAGATAATTGGAAAGTCTTTGTTTGATCTCGTAAATGTTCCTTATCTAAATTACTAAGTCAGACTATCTATGCTGCCAACATCACATATATCGAAATCAATAATAACTTTAGGAAGAAAAAACCAAAACACTTCTTGTTTTCTTTTTACATGCAGAAAAAAAAGAAGAAAAAAATCTTATACTTTCAATTATCAGATACAACTCTCTAATGCATAAAGAATGACTACTTTTCAACGTTTTGATTGGCTTAAACTGAAAATCAATATGTCAAGTTGACTTTAATTCGTCTTTTGTTTGATGATTTAAAAAAACAATTCTTTGGTTTTTTTTTCAACAACGGAAAACGATCACGCATTTTGTTATTGTTTTTAGATTCTGATTTTGCAAATTGAACTACGAATGGACGCAAATATAGAATGACACGGACGGATACGTATTTACAAATTTTTGTAGAAATCACAACATGGACATCGTAATCAACGAATTAAACATCGTATAAATTATACACTTGATGATCTCCTATCTATATTTAAAAACAATGGTAGGCATCAATTATTATGTAAACTGTATCAAATACCAATTAGTAAATTACATGATATTATCAAGGAGTGTGACACGATGTAGTTCTTTAGCCCACTCTATCAATATTCGCGCATAATTACAGCTTTTTGCCACCATAGGCTGTTTCCGCGTATCGATAAACCTGAAGATCAAAAACGGCACTTTCTGAAAATTAAATATATTAACACAGGTATTGCTTTCATCTACTTATCGAGTATATTTAATGACTCTACCATTCACACTACACGGACGTTCATAAAAATGAAATTTTAAATTAATCTACATTCAAGTCCGTGCGCTCCACAGAGAGTAATATAGTAAACAAACATATCATAACCACATCACAGCTTAGGGTCTCTTCTGAACATTTGAAAGTCCCTACTATGTATTGGTTACCTAAACTACACAAAAACCAGTAAAATAGCGTTTCATCTCTGTCTCTAGTAAGCGTTCTACAACTAATTGTTCAGTGCTTTTAACTAGTTCCTTAACTCCTATCAAAGAACTTATCATTAACTTTTGAAATAAAATATCTGAAAATAATGGAATCAACTATTTTTGGAGTGTAAAAAATTCTTTGGATGTTTTAGATAATTTACGTGCTTTTGATGGTCCTTTTGATTCTGTTGACAGTTTTGACTATTCAACTCTTTACACTACATTTTCACACAATCATATCAAACAAAAGTTTTCCTATTTAATTAAATGGCCATTTGGTAAATCTGAATGCAAATATATTTGCTGCAACTCATTTAAAGCCTTCTTCTCCAATGAGAAAGGTTAATATGCTAGATATACTTTCTTGAAAGGTGATGAGATGATTGAAGCAGTTAATTTTCTTCTTGATAATATTTATGTACGTTTCGGCAATAAAGTTTATCGACAGGTTGTAGGTATTCCTATGGGCACCAATTGCGCCTCTTTAATAGCAGACTTGTTCTTGTACTGTTATGAATCACAGTTTATGACCAAACTCAGTAAAGACCCGTAGAAATTGCATTTAATTGATAAATTCAACAACACTTACCGTTATCTTTTTGATATTTTTTCGTTAAATAATTAAGAATTTTCTAAATATACTTCCGAAAACTATCCAAAAGAACTTACTTATATATCGTCATACTGTGGACTAAATCAAATATAAACGGTAATAACTGTCATTCCTAGATTCAGATATTTCAATTTTACACGGAAAACTCAACACTAAAATTTACAACAAAAGGGACGATTTTTTGTTCCCTATTGTTAATTTGCCTTTTTTGGATGGTGTTGTTCCTTTGGCATCCTCGTTCACTATGCCCGTGTTTGTTGTGACGTTTTGGATTGTAATGAACGTACTCTATGTATTACTGGTAAATTATTAAGTCATGGATTTTGTTACCACAAATTACTTAAAACCTTAACTAAATTCTTCCATAGATATAAAGATTTGGTTTTGAAGTTTGGTTGTACCTGTAGAAAACTTGTTTCAAACAGGATAGCACATCCTTATATTTACGGAGATGTTGTTTTCCGAGCCCGGAAATTTAGAAACGATCCCGGTAAACTTATCGATCCTTTAAATAAACTTATTCGAAAAGGGTACCAATTCAACACTGTAATTAGATCTTTGAATATTGTTTTTATTGGTATAAATATTGATTTGTTATCAGTAAATTAGAACCAAACTAAATATTATTGTTATATACATATGCACATTTATGGCTCTAGAATCTGTCGATACCTGTATTTGGCATTGTACAAGGTCATGTTTTTCTCTGACTGTTTATGACGTCTTTACACTAAATCAATTGGATGTTTGATGTGTACTGATTGATAATTTAGTCTTTGATGCATGATTTTTTTTATTAGTTTTTATTGGCTTTGAACTAGCTGTCAGTAACTGCGAGTACTCTCAGATCTGTGCTAAGTGTCTTCTTGTTGTTGGGATGTACAAGTACCCATCCACGTCCACTGTGTGTTTTTGTTTGATGTATTTCTATTTGTATCCATCTGATTAGTTAAGACTTTTTCAACTGATTTTTATAGTTTGTTCTTATGTTGTACTATTACACTAATGTCTAAGGTTAGGGGAGGGTTGGCGCCTTCAAACTAGTTAAACCCCGCCAGATTCTGTATGTGCCTGTCCCAAGTCAAGAGACTGTAATTCATTGGTTGTCGTTTGTTGCTGTGTTTCAAATTTGTTTTTCGTTCATTATTTTGTACATAAATGAGGCCGTTAGTTTTCTCGTTTGCATTGTTTTACATTTGTCATTTCGGGGCCTTTTATAGCTGACTATGCGGTATAAGCTTTATGAAGGCCGTGCGGTGACCTATAGTTGTTAATTGCTGTGTCATTTGGTCTATTGTGGAGAGTTGTCTCATTGGCAATCATACCACATCTTCTTTTTATATTAAATGGTAAAATGCAATTATTTTCTGTTATAAATAATGTAACAATACAGTAAACTTAGATAAGGAACCTATTGCAGGGATTGTTTGCAAGTCTTTTTTTTTTTACGTTTTTCTGAATTAACGGCATATTTTGAACTGGTCTTTTTCCGATTATATTACCTGCACTTCAAATACATTTCATAGCTTTAGAAATCGGGAAAATAATTTGATATCTGTTAAATTACCGGACATGAATTGGTCAAAAACGAAGAACAGGAATAGCAATTAACGCTCTGTAAAATTTTTCATTGGATATTTTTGTTAAAGGCGTGTAGTAATACGATTGAAAGCAGTTATATATTTCAGTATTTTACTTGAAATATAGAAACAATAAGTATAAAATTATTGTCATATGAAGTACCATATACGACTGTAAGCATCCGGAAAAAAGACTTTGAAGTTCTATTCAGGTATGTTTGTAATGCTAAATTATATACTAGTCCTATATCATACAATAGAAATAATCGAACGGTTATAAATGTGATTGAATAAACTTATCATAAATACCAGGATTAAGATTTTTAACGTTCGTTTCGTCTACAAAAGATACAACAGTCACGCTCGAATAAAAAAAATTTAAAATGTCAAATTAAGTACGAAGTTGAAGATCATTGAGGACTAAAATTTCGAATAACTGAGCGAACAATTTTAATAATATCTGCAACTGCAGTAAACAAACATATTAGAAATTTGAAGTGATAATAAATTCAATTTACAAATCATTATACATGACTTATTACAACGTTGTTTTGTTTTGTTGCAATTTTAAAAGTCCCCTTGCTATTTTCTGCTTTTTGATATATCAAAAACATAACTAAGTTTAGTTTAAAATAAAAAAAATAATCATTTTCTATAAGTATGCAGGAAAAAAAGAAAACATTCTTATAATTTCTCCGACAAAGCTCATTGAATAAAAAGCGAACTTTTGTTTTTAGCATTTGATGTCTCAAAACTTAACACGAATGGACGCAAGTATATTGGGATTTCGGATGGATACTCTGTATATATTGTGTAAAATGTGGATTGTTACCATTTTAAGTGGTGGTATCATTACATGTATTTAAAGCGTAAAATAAATTTCTGTCTGAAATAAAGAAATATATATGTATATATAAAAAAACAGATACTTAAATAGGAAGTTTTTTTTATCCACACCTGTTCTTGATCATTTCCTGTAGTAAAAGCTAATTTGGAACTGGTCTTTTCAAGTTTCATTGTCATGCACTTGAAATACATTTGAAAATAGAGATACAATTTATTATGCGTTAAATTACCGGACATTTAGTGGTCAAAACATTTTTTTAACGAAGTACAGGAACAAGGAAATCATTTTAACAATAAGTTTCGGTCGATTCATTGTAGTGTGTTTCCAAGTACTGACGTAGTTATATCAAATATATCTAAAACGTCGTGGTATTATGTCTGGTTTTTCGATATATCGTGATTCTACATTCATCACTTTGATGGTTATTTGGCAGCGTGGTCACCTCTGAGTGCAGTAGGCCTTAGATGTTATCCGCGGAAAGAACAGAAATCTTTGAAACTGGTATATGCTGTTTTATAGATAATAACGCAGCGCACGGCTATGAAAACAGTAATTCTATTCGTTTTGGTTATAGAATAATATTCTCCTTTATGAGAAATTTCGTCTTGCTGTGGACTAAATTTACTTACAACATTAAAAATCAGACTCATCGTGTCAGTCTCGTAAAAAACCGGATATTCGATATTTGCCTGAAATGTTTTTTAGCTATGTACATGCTATTTATTTAAACTGTTTTCCTGTTGGTCCCTATTTTAAAAGATTTTTGAAATCTATATCGAGCTTTTATTTCTTTTGATTAATTGCCAATGAGACAACTCTCCATCAGAGACTGAATGAGGTAAAGGTTAATGATAACTCAACAAGTAAAATACGGACTGAGTAATCATGCGTGGATCTGATTTGATTACATGAAACTATAGACAGTTAACTGATTAGAAGCTGTATAAAGACTGGATACAAAAGGTCAACTATGATCAGATTTATATCGAACAGTTTTCAACAATAGTTTCCATTATTTACCTTTGGGTATTCATAGTTATCTCATATACATATTCGAACGCACCCTAAGTACGCTAACGAGAAATATGCACACAAATCTTAAACAGGTTTTAACATTTTCCGACCGTGCAAGACCCTCATGGGTAGTCAAGGTCGTTAACCCCCCCCTCGTCGTTAGGTTTTAACATAGTTTTGACGAAAATGGGTTATCATAAAAATAGCTTCCCTTCATCAATGGTGTTACAATAAAACAAAATGAAACAGTTGCATTCCATTTTCATTTTATAATTTTCAGGATGGCAGCCAATTTCTCAAACGGAACTCTTACATATTTGAGGGAAATAGAATACCAAAGATTTCTAGAAAAAGATATCCCAGCTACACTATTTCTCATATTTCTGTCAGTCATAGGTACAATTGGAAATATACACACGATATTGGTATATATATTATCACCGATCATGGCAAAATATTCGGTTCGAGTTTTTATCATTTGGCTTGCCTTTATCGATCTTACAGCATGTGTATTTTGTATGCCTTTTGAGATTTTCGATATTCGATACGACTACACATTTTCATCTGTCGGTGCTTGCAAATTCTTCAAATTTCTAAATCATGTTATTACAGGGGCTTCCAGCATATTATTGACTACAATTGCCATTGAAAGATATAGAATATTTGTCAAAAACTTACCGACACTAATTACAAATTCACAAAGGTCGAATGTCATATCTTCTGTTCTAGTAGGATTATCCATGATATTGTCAATCCCAGTATTAATATATTATGGTGTGAACGAAAAAGAAACAAACATTTTTTGTGTAATGGGTGAGGAATGCAAACTTCATCCAATGTATAAAAATATAGAATATTTAGGAATTTATTACAGTATAACATTATTTATAGGTTTAGTTTGCGTTGTTATGTGCATAGTTTCATATGGAAGAATACTGCATGAAATTTGTACTCGAGAAAAATGGAGGAAATCAATAAGAAAGAGATCGGTTTCGTCTTTGAATTCAACTTCGGATATAAGATCGGGTAGCACTCAAATAACATCAACTATTCAAAATGAGGCGGTAAAATTAAATAAATTGGAAGCTGGAACCTGTGACAGGGCAAACAAAAAGTCGACTCGTTCATCGCACAATCTTGGAAATGCGATTCGACTAACCATAAGCCTCATGATAGCAACCGCTGTATCCTACATAGGAAATATGTTATATGTTTTCACGAAAATGGTCCAAATATTGAATCCTAAGATGTATCAAAACAGTATCCGGCCAGTCTCCGATATCATAGGGCGCGGATTTTTTGTTAACAATGCAACTAATCCTGTAGTATTTTGTCTTTTGGATAGAACTTTTCGACAGGAATGCCTGAAATTGTGTGGGAAGATATGTTCTCAGAAAAATAATTCACCGGAATAAAAATGATAAAACCTTCTATGAGTCATAATTTGATACAGCTTATATGCCTATATTTTGTGTGACAGGATTGCAAAAGAGGTATTCTACTTAACCAGATTAGCGCATTCTTGACTTTTTTACTTGAACTTGTATATATGCCAATTTGTATTACATTTGAAATATTTACATCGTACAGCTATGAATAAACCAAAATTTTAGAAAGTTTGCACAATCAGACAACACATGCTGACGAAATTCGACACCTGAAAGTTACACAATCTCAACTGTTGTATAATAGAGTCTTCTCTATGAGAAACTTTATCAAACAATAATTTTTGGAATATTGGATAAAGTGTTATTGTAGGATATATTATTATAAAGAAAGTGTTTTGAGTAAATACGTATTTGCCCATGTCTGTAAAATGTATTAACTACCAAACTCTAATTTAAGTTAAATATAGGAAAGTCCAAAACACATGACAAAACCAAACGCACCACTATATCAACCAATAGAAAGACTGGAAAATAGTTATCATATTTCTGACTTGGTACATGGAGGTTTATATTTCAATGAACGTAATCTATATAAAATTGGTAAAGTATTAATTCAGGGATTTCGTTACCAAAAATTACTTGAAATTATATTACTAAATTCTTTCAAAGATACATCGCTTTGGTTTGAAAATTTTGTTGTAGCTATTGAAACCTTATTACAAAAGGGATATCACACCCTACGTTTTGCCATAATTATGTTTATAGAGCCCGTTAATTTAGATACCATCCATATGCATGTACACTTATTTATCCTTTGAAGAAAATTACTCTTAGGTTATCAATTTAACACAATACTATTATATTTGAACATTAATTTTGTTATAACTAGATTAAAACATAACTAAATATGTATTGCAGTACAGATATGAATACTAATGGTGCCACATTCTGTTGATATTTATATATTAGCATAGGGGGTAATCTTTTTAAAGATGGTTCATGTAGTCTTTACAATAAATCGAGTGGATGTGTACTGACTTATATTAGTCTCGAAAACTTGATATATTTATTAGTTGTATTTTGCTTTTAACTAGCCTTTAGTAACTGCGTGTACTCGCAGATGGGTACTTTGTTTCTTCTGTCTTCTTCATAGTTGTATTTATATCTACGTTTCGATCTGAATAGTCAATCACTTTGAACTATTTATTAGCAGTTTCTGCTTTCGTTGTTTAAGTACTTAAGGACATTTGTTACTCTTTTAAATTGTTTTACGTTTTGTCGTGTCGTTGCTTTTTATATTTATAGCTTACTACAAGGTATGGTTTTGCTCATTGTTGAATACCGTACAGGGACCTATAATTGCTTGCATCCAAGTCGTTAGATCTCTCGGATTGTTGTCTCATTGGCAATCATATCGCATCTCCTTATTTATACCTACGCAGAAACACTGCCGAACGTGGCGTTTTGCACCTTTGGGGGACAGATAGATAGACGCGAGTTTCGTCTACAAAAAACTCATCAGTAACGCCTGAATAAAAAAAGACTAAGCAACACGAACCCTACCAAAAACTTGGGGTGATCTCAAGTGCTCCGGAAGGGTAAGCAGGTCCTTTTCCACATGTGGCATCTGCCGTGTTGCTCATGTTAGTACAAACCCGGTAAATAGTCTAATTCAGTAGGTCACATTCGTGAAAGGGATTGTAGTTACGACATTAGGAACATATCCGCTATCATCTGTGAAACGGATATTCCATATATTCTGAACGTATAAGATGTTATACATGGAGTTTACTTCATCTAAAAGAGTTTTATAAAAAATATTGTAGTTGTTTTATCTGATGCAATTTTTCTGCACTTGAAAGTACAATCGAAATTTGATATAAATTATTGTTATCTTTTACCATCACAAGTAATCATAATTTTAATCGACAACAGGAAAAGAGGGCAAATTTCTAGCGCCAAACGATATCTTTAAAATAAACCTCACTCGTTTTATCACAGTTTATTTGTAGCTAACTTATGTCTGATTAAAACATTGTACTGTGACACCGATTTAAATCATACTGTTGTTCTTTTATTAATCGTGATCAATATTTTTAGCAAATAATCATACAAAAAAAAAAACATATTTATGTCAATAGACAGATGTAATATCCCAATATATCGGCTGTCCTAGTGAACTACCCTGACTACTTCTGTAGACATGAAATGGTTTATATTGAATTCAAATGTAGCTCATTTCTTTGTGTAAATGCTTAAATATGACTACATTTGAAATATGAATATATAAATACTTTTTCTCCGAGTTTCAATATTGCACTACTTAGTATTATGTGACAGATGCTCCCATCCAGCCACTTGAATCACTGATGTTGTAGCCATAACAGTTACAATATCTGCCAATTTGATTGGGAATATGGATATTTGATCACCGTGGCTAATTTTTGCGGCTTGTATATTCACTTCCGACGCTTTAAATTCTACGACAAAAATACTACATGTAATTTAAGGACGAACTAGTTAAAGAATAAATCAAAATGTACAGTCTATAGGAGGGTAAACCGACAGAATTGTTGACCTGCAATAACATGTTGTATTTGGTATCTTACAGTCTATAGGAGGGTAAACCGACAGAATTGTTGACCTGCAATAACATGTTGTATTTGGTATCCTACAGTCTATAGGAGGGTAAACCGACAGAATTGTTGACCTGCAATAACATGTTGTATTTGGTATCCTACAGTCTATAGGGGGGTAAACCAACAGAATTGTTGACTTGTAATAACATGTTGTATTTGGTATCCTACAGTCTGTAGGAGGGTAAACCGACAGAATTATTGACTTGCAATAACATGTTGTATTTGGTATCCTACAGTCTATAGGAGGGTAAACCGACAGAATTATTGACTTGCAATAACATGTTGTATTTGGTATCCTACAGTCTATAGGAGGGTAAACCAACAGAATTGTTGACTTGCAATAACAAGTTGTATTTGGTATCCGACAGTCTATAGGAGGGTAAACCAACAGAATTGTTGACCTGCAATAACATGTTGTATTTGGTATCCTACAGTCTATAGGAGGGTAAACCGACAGAATTGTTGACTTGCAATAACATGTTGTATTTGGTATCCTACAGTCTATAGAAGGGTAAACCGACAGAATTGTTGACTTGCAATAACATGTTGTATTTGGTATCCTACAGTCTATAGGAGGGTAAACCGACAGAATTGTTGACCTGCAATAACATGTTGTATTTGGTATCCTACAGTCTATAGGAGGGTAAACCGACAGAATTGTTGACTTGCAATAACATGTTGTATTTGGTATCCTACATGTAATGAAAATAACACCTTATAAATTTTGTGGGTTCAGAGCGCTTTTCTCAATTTACCTTTATCAGCAACACACACACACACACCTAAAACGTTGAACATAAGGATGATTAGATACTTGTACACGTTGATATGAGCTATATACTGTGGATTTATTTATTTTCGTGGGTACCAATTTTCGTGGATTAAGGAAAACTGACATGTTCGTTGATATTTAATTTCGTGGTTTTGACGAAGTCTGCATACACGCCTATGGAAAATTTGTTATTCGTTGAACATTTAATTTCGTGGTTCACCTGTACCCACGAAATCCACGAAAATTGGTATCCAACGAATAATAATGAATCCACAGTAACCAAAAAGGACACACAAAATTATTAAAATTATTCGAAGGTAAAATGTGCATGTGTGTGACTTTGCAACAGATTTTCCATATCTGTTGCTCGGATTCTTTAACCATGTTGCTATTGTTAGTACACAAATCTTATTAGGTATGTCACATTCCAAGAAAAGAGGGCGGACATAGGTTATGACAATTGAAACATATCCGTCGTCATATATGAAACAGATATTTAATAACGTGCAAACAACTCGTGGTTTAATATCTTCCTTGTTAGCAGGAAACCTCTATCAAAGTAAATAATGATGGAAATGCAAGCTCTGGGATATGGTAACCTGGATATTTATACTCCATATGAAGGTGCTGCAGTTAATTTGCTACATAAAAAAAAGAAAGTTCCCAAGCTAAACAATCATCTCTTTTGTCGTAAAGGTTAGTTCTCATCCGACCCTTTTGTCAGTTTCTAGGCGTAAGTCAAGATATGAGGCAGTCTTAAGTGTATCTGTCGTATCCTTTGTGTTTTATAAGATTGGATAGATGCGTTCGACATAGTCACCAAACGTTTAATGATAGAACATCATGTATATCATGTATATAGCAGAACGTGAAATTGAAGGATCATGCTTGCTTTTTGTTTTATTCTTTCTAAGAATTTCCTGTATAAAAGTTGTCTAATATAACTTGAGAAACACGTCGACAAGAAGATGAGCACAGTTGGTTCTCATAGCAATTCCGATTGTTTGGTGAAAAACGCGTCCTTCAAACGTAAATAAAATTGAGAAATGGGGAATGTGTCAAAGAGACAATAGACTATAGAGTAGACAACAGCCGAAGGCCATCAATGGGTCTTCAATGCAGCGATAAACTCCCGCACCCGGAGGCGTCCTTCAGCTTTATGTGGATTTTATTAGAAAGGAGCAAAGACTGGCGTCCAGAATATGAACCAGCACACAATAAATTGAATTATGTGAATATGATAAAACTGTTCGGTAACATGTATGTTGTTGATCAAGAAATCAAGCATCTCGATAATGCCAGTTTCAGAGATTTAGTTTGAATCAGTATATTTATTTTCAAACGTAGGATTTATTCCTCCCTTAAACAAGATATATGTGTTTCTTCTTTTTTATGAAACAATGAAGGACCAATTCTTTCAATTTGTATTTTTCTAATTTGGTATTGGGATACTAGTGTAAAGGGTAAACAAGTCAAAGATTTTAACACCATTACAAGTGGAAAGAGACTTAGATTTATGTACTTTGGAAATTTTTTATCATCTGATTCACCCCGCCCGAGTATGAAGTCCGTTTTTTTAGGATCTAAATGATGTTAATATTTTTGAAAAGAGGTTTCGTGAAGTACTTGGAAGTCCCAGGACTATAACGTTGTTTGTAAGGACACTGTATCAAATACAGTGTAGTAAAATCCAGTTCTTCATCTTTGGTTGATATTCTAAAGAAACATAGAACACACCCAAGTTGATTCAGAATTTCCTCGTTGGTTTATGCTGTAAAGGTAAATTTGGAGTTTCAATGTGAATTGTCAATACCTTATTCTTTTATCAAGCAGGCTTTGTAATGTGATTTACACAAACACACACGATGTTGTTTAGAGCTTTATCTGCTTGGTCAACAACATATTTGTCATGAAAGCAGGACATATGCTTAGTAACATTTGGGTCTTAATGTAGTATATGTTTTCACATACCCATTTAGTTTTTTAGTTCTTA